TTATTTTATATTATTATCTTAATTAAAAGTATAAGTTATAAGTTAACTAATTATTTATATATATATTCTTATATATTTTTAATATATATATAACTTGTATATATTCTTTTAAGATATTAAAATTAATATTTATAAAAAAATAACTATATTATTAATATTAATATTTTTATTATAGTGCAGCTACTTGTATATAAATTATAATTAATTTATTTTAATTTTTAATTACTTTTTTATATTTAATTTCTTATTTATTTTATATTTTAATTCTTAATTTAATATTCTTATCATAGCTGTATAGTTAGATAAATAAATTAAAATTTTTATTTTATTATTATTCTAATTTTACTAAAGTTATGATATAATATTAAAATTTTTTTTCTCAAAAAGCTCTAAGAATTGAATAAGTAATTTTATATTTATATTTATATATATAGTTATATATATATTTATACTATAGATTTATATTTATTCTCATATTTAAATAAGTTTTTTAGTAATTACAACTATATTAAATACTCAGTAAATTTTATTAATATTTTATTTTTTTTATTATTTTAATTTTTATTATAAAAGCTTCTACTACTACTCTTAATTAGAAATTTAAAAGTACTATTTAAAAGCTTTATAGTCAAATTAATAGCTTCAAACTGAATACTCAATTCTAATAAACTGAATGCTAATCTTTACAAACTATTTTAAATAGATTTTAAATTTAATTTTATTTAAAGTTCTCATTATTAGATTTTAAAAATTTTATTAATCAAACTATAAGATTTGATACTTGTCTTCTCTCAATCAAAGTCAAATTTTATATTGATCAAACTTCTATTGAAGATTCAATTACTCAGTTCTATTATATCTACTTAAATTTAAAATCAAATGTACAAGTAATAATTTTTCCCCAATTAGTTTAAATTAAAGAAGTATTTAATTAAGACTATATCTTAATTCTCAATGAATTTTTTTTATATATATAATAATTTAAATAAAATAATTAAAATAAAAAATAAGTTAAATAATATAAAGTAAAGATCAGATAAATCTTTGATAATTTATATTATTAAATTTAAATTTATTTTCTATAATATTAGAGTTTAAAATTAATTAAATTCTTTAAAAATATTTTAATTCTATTAAAGTCTTAGTATAATAATTCAAAATTATCTAGTTTAGCAGTTAAATCTCTTTTATATATATAAAAAATTTCTATATATTATTCAATAATTAATTTTTGATTTTTTTATTTATTTTTATTATATAATTCTCAGTAGTCTACTTGTTATAATTACTTTGATTACTATAATCTTATAAATTTAAATCAAATTCAATTTAATATCTTTAATTTTTTATATGATTTTTTATTATATATTTTATTAATTTTATCTTCTTAATAAGAGAAATTCTATCAAGAAGACTATTATATATATTATAAACTTAATAATTATTAAATTAAAAACTATTATTTTTATCTATATTTTTTTAAATCATATTATAATTATCATCAAATTGCTAAATAAATCTCAATTTATAGATAAATCTAATAATAAATATGATATATATATAATATTAAAAAATTTTTATAAAAATCTTATAAATAATAATTAATATGATTAATTTAATGATATATTTGATGAATTTTTTTCTCTTTACTTTTATTTCTAATATAGATACATGAAAGTAAGTACTTTTTTAAATCGTAAAATAATATTATAGTATAACTATTTATATATAAATTAATATTGATTTATTTAAATTTTAATTATTTTTTTATATTTAATTATTTATTCATTTTATATATTAATTTTTATTTTAATATTTTTATTATAGTTATATAGTTAAATAAATTGAAACTTTTTTTATTATCATATTGATTTAATAAAGTTATAATAATTTAATTTTTTACTACTATTATTTAGAATATTTTAAAATAAATTTATAATTAATTATTTATTTATATATTTTTTTAAATTTTATAAATTTTTTAATAGAATTTAATAATTAATTACTTTTTAGTTTTATATTTATATTTTATTTATTGTTATTCTCTCTACTTTTCAATACTTTAAATATCTATTTTCTACTTTTTTATAATATTTAGTTATAGTACTTCTCATATTTTTTTTTTTTTAATATATAGTTTATTTACATCAAATATTTTTAAAATTAAATAAAAAAGCAAATGAGTTTATATTTTAAAACTGAAAAGAAATTTAAGTGATCAAGAATATAAATGAATAAAGAAAAATTTATATATATTTTCAGTAATTCAGATGTATTGAAAATGAATCTTTGAATCTTTGAACAATGAGTCAGATAACTATTAATATAAAATCTCTATTAGTGTGATGACACTAGACAGTGCTAGCTATGTAAGGAAACTGACATTGTTAGAAAAGTGTAATAGCAGCTGTCTAGTCTGAAAATCACTCTACAGAAACTGTCTAGCAATAAGCATAGCAACTACACTGTAAATAAATATCATACAAAGATTTGCCTAGCAATCACACAACAATTGCTAGTGAAAAGAAGTATATAAAATATTCTTCCCCAGATCTCTTTTCATAAATCATCTTAGAATTTATTCATTTAATTAGTCTATTTAGTTGGCAATCAAACATCTGTTTTTCTGTGTCTAAATTGATTGAAGTCATAACATTCAGCCTCTTTTTTTTCATAAATATATTAAGATGTCACTCTATCTGATCAAGGAAGTAACATTGTTTACTCACAGAAATTATCATTTCATCATCTCATACAAAGAAAAGATGATCATCTCGTCATCTCATACAAAGAAAAGATAATCATTTTGTATACAAAGGCGGGGTAATATGAATATTTTTGAGAAGTAGTGATGGTACTGTGGGGAGATAGTTTCTATGACGTAGAAGACATGATGATAAGAAGTTGTCTTTGACAAGATATTGTGATTATGACAATATAATATCACTTCATGCATGTGAAGATTTGCTTTCACTTTCTTCAAGATCTTGTTCATAAGAATGAGGTTGTTCTACACTATGTATCGTCTGCAAATAATATGATGAATGATCTTATCAATGATCTTATCAAATCACTGAGAGCCACTAAGTTTGCTTACTGAAAGAAGATTGTAAAGTTAAGAAAATGAGTATTTTCTTTACCACTCACTTTTTTCTTTTTCTTCTTTTTTTTTTTTTTCTTTCTGTTTTAACTGGTTTTTTTCATGATCTTGTTTTTCCAGTTGATTTTGTACCTGTACTAGGCAGTAGGCCTATAGTTGTTTAATATTGAGTACTCCTATTAATGGTGAGTTTTGTTTGGGGGGGGGTCCCGTGACCTGTTTTCCACCAGTCAATTCTTGTAGCGTCAATCAACCAAGCTTTGCCATTCAGTCAGTAGCTACATGTTTGATAACATACGAAGCCTGGAAAGAAACACTGAAAGCAGACTGAGTTTTCTTAACAGTTTGAGTGAGCAATTGACAGTAAAATAACAGTCAGAAAAAGTGCAGATAAGAATCAAATGGTTCTAACAGTTAGACAGAACTTAAATACAATTCCATGAAATTTAAGCCAGTGATTAACTAGTTATATGTGAAATTATTGATTTCTTTCTGTGTAGGAGCTTTAACCATGTTTTCTTAATAACTCAACCACCAGTTCACTCAAATTCGGTGAAAATTGAATGGTACGCTCAGGTATCCGCTAGCTTTTAGTTGAATATATTTTCATCTTTCAATTTGAGGAAATAGGCTTGTTTGAGGATTCGCGGTTAATTCATTCTACTAAAAAGCTGTAATAGGTTAACGCCTGGTTGATAATCTTTCGTAACCAAAACTCCTCGCCCAGATTATCCCTTCTTCCGCCCTATCCTGTATAATACTCTGCGCCCACCTTCGTAGCTTTCATTCTCTTTTCAGTTCTTTTCTCCTTCTAACGAATTCGTCCATTTTGTTCTTTAAGGAAGTGCTAGGACGGTTATCGGTATCACGGCCGGTACAAAAGCAAGCATCAATGTACTGTAGTAAAGGTGGCAAGACAGGACATTAGAGTCCCTGCATGGTCATTGAGTTAAAGAGATAATGTATATATTTTTCTCTAATATGTATTTCCATGTCATTGTTGTTTAATTTGAAAATTTTTTCAATGCAGGTGGGGTGCTTTGTTCCCATAACTTAGTTGGTCCATTCAACCCATCACCATTCCCGAGTCATGTGATTCTAGTCTAAACTACTTGAACCATCAACCGCCAACTAAAAAAAAAAAATGATCAGTAGCTCGCAGCTACACCGCAGTGCCTCCGTGCAGTTATTCGACAATCTTGAATAATATCACGGGAGTGGGAGAAAACTAAACATTTTCCATCCATTCTTTCCTCCATTCCTCCCTCTTGATAAGTTATTTTAAAAAAAGCAAAAAAGAAAAGAAAAAATCGATCGACAATAATGCCCGGAGACTCCACACCATTCGGGCCCAAGCCCAAATCCTCAGTCCCATCCTACCTCCTAAATGGAACTGCATCCATTTGCGTGCCAAGCAATGTGCAAGAGCGCGAGATCCTCCATTCCTCCATCAAATCTTCCTTCTCCCGGAGACAGGTCATTGATCCAGAGCTTCCTTCAGAACCACCATTACCATCACCTGCTACTGCCACAGGGTTATCAATTGTGCGGGATGCAGTGACTCCAGCAACTGCTATAAATGGCGCTCCAGATACTGACAACCCCTATGGTCGAGTTAACGGCATACCTGTGAATGAGGGTGGAAAGCCCAATGCCAATCAGAATGAGCATGAGCATGACAATGAGAGTGAAGACCATGTTGGTAGACCGATAGAAGCGCCTGTCATTTTGAATGCCGCCCCAATTTCTTCCGGAACAAATTTCAGCGGTGAACCCCCGCGTGATCCTACGGATCATACGAGACCCTTAACGCCTCCTTCCACTACCAGCCGGTCTGAGAGCCCGTACACAGTAAACCCGCCAATTGATTTTGACGGACTTAGTTGGCCGAGTATGTCATCTTCCCTCTGCATCCTCTCTCCCCCCCGTTGCCATATTCAATTGCCCTTGAAAGCGCATTTATTAACAAGTATTCGTGCAGGTGTTGGTACCCGCAAACGCCTAGACTCATCACCCGAAGAAAGCGAAAAGCGCATGCAGAAACTCGCAGACGCCGTGCGGACAATTTTAGAATGTATCGGAGAAGACCCCCAGCGGGAAGGGTTGCTAGGCACGCCGGAGAGATATGCCAAGGCTCTGATGTATTTCACGAAGGGGTATGAGGAGAACGTACGCGATCAGGTGAACGGCGCTGTTTTCCATGAGGACCATGACGAGCTGGTTATTGTGAAGGACATCGAGGTGTTTTCGCTTTGCGAACATCATATGGTGCCGTTTACGGGGAAGGTATGTATGGCATTTTTGCCACTCACTCCGTATTAGCCCGTGATCACCCTATCCCATACATCCAAAAACAGAGAAGACAAGGGCAAAAATAACCCCATACAACAGATGCACATCGGCTACATCCCGAATCGCCGCGTCCTAGGCCTCTCCAAACTCGTCAGGCTGGCAGAGATGTTCTCGGCGCCGCCTCCAGGTCCAAGAACGGCTGACAAAGCAAGTCGCTCTCGCAATAGCTGAAGTGCTCAAGCCACAGGGTGTCGCTGTAGTGATGGAGTCTAGCCACCTGTGCATGGTGATGCGTGGTGTGCAGAAGAGTAGCAGCACGACGACGACGAGTTGTATGCTAGGCTGTATGCGAGCGAGCGCGAAGGCGAGAGAGGAGTTTCTGAGTTTGTT